GAAGCGGGTAACGCGCGGATAATTGTGACGGGAAAATGTTTTACGACCCGGTTACAACCTCGAAAGCTAACGCGTCCAATCAACGTCTCGTTATCATTACGAATTACGCACCCACGACTGGTCTTGTCTCGAATCCGTACGCATACAGGACACGTGTACAAAGCAAAGCGACCGGCGGTACGTGCTCATTAGGAATAAATCAATTAGCAAGCTGCCTGATTGTCGATTCACCGATTCGACTGGGGCCCAATTAGCAGTTTCCTCTTAATTATCAAACAATGTCTGATCTTGCGGTTAAAGACGGCCGCTCTTCGGTTACCGTTACGGAAACGTCTGCCAACAACGTGATCGTCTTCGGTCCCTGTACGATTCAGTTTGCCGAGCATAATCCGTTATCGTTTCTCTCTCCGAAATCATTTGTACTTTTTCTTTCTTCGAGAATGCAATCTTCGATAGGTGTTCGATCGAGCCGGAAACTTTAAGCCGAATGTTAATTTACGAATGGATGAGACTCGAATGATAGAGGGACCAGTTTACTGGACAATTGTTTGAAAATTTTCTTTCGGAAACTGCAATTAATTGGTACGATAGAAAAATAAACTCCTGACGATTTTTAATTTTTTTTCACCCGAGCTTTGAATGAAAATTTAAACAGTGCATTTCACAGGTCTCCGTAATTTATATGTATGCTGAATTTGTATCGGAATCGGTTTAAAATATAAAATATCAGTTTAAATCAGTTTAAAATATAAGATATCAGTTGAAATCAGTTTAAATATAAGATAAACTGAAATTCATTTGAAAAATGATGTAGCAATCTTTCGTGAAAACTCATAGTCGTGATTCGATTGCAGTTTAACCCTTTGCACTGGAAGCCAATTTAACCGTAAATCTAAAATAATTTCTCTGACTTATGGTATTTCCATGAATCTAATATTTATTTTATTGTTAATTAAAAGTTAATTAAAGTTAAATTGTATTTAACCGTAAATCTAAAATAATTTCTCTGACTTATGGTATTTCCATGAATCTAATATTTATTTTATTGTTAATTAAAAGTTAATTAAAGTTAAATTGTATTTAACCGTAAATCTAAAATAATTTCTCTGACTTATGGTATTTCCATGAATCTAATATTTATTTTATTGTTAATTAAAAGTTAATTAAAGTTAAATTGTATTTAACCGTAAATCTAAAATAATTTCTCTGACTTATGGTATTTCCATGAATCTAATATTTATTTTATTGTTAATTAAAAGTTAATTAAAGTTAAATTGTATTTAACCGTAAATCTAAAATAATTTCTCTGACTTATGGTATTTCCATGAATCTAATATTTATTTTATTGTTAATTAAAAGTTAATTAAAGTTAAATTGTATTTAACCGTAAATCTAAAATAATTTCTCTGACTTATGGTATTTCCATGAATCTAATATTTATTTTATTGTTAATTAAAAGTTAATTAAAGTTAAATTGTATTTAACCGTAAATCTAAAATAATTTCTCTGACTTATGGTATTTCCATGAATCTAATATTTATTTTATTGTTAATTAAAAGTTAATTAAAGTTAAATTGTATTTAACCGTAAATCTAAAATAATTTCTCTGACTTATGGTATTTCCATGAATCTAATATTTATTTTATTGTTAATTAAAAGTTAATTAAAGTTAAATTGTATTTAACCGTAAATCTAAAATAATTTCTCTGACTTATGGTATTTCCATGAATCTAATATTTATTTTATTGTTAATTAAAAGTTAATTAAAGTTAAATTGTATTTAACCGTAAATCTAAAATAATTTCTCTGACTTATGGTATTTCCATTTTATATGACGAAATGCATTTTATGCATATGAAATTGAGTCTTGCGATGACTTGTGATGACAGTTACACTTTTAACGATATTTTACGTTTAAACTTCGTTAATATAACAATTATCTTGGAACATGAACTAACAATTTCAGTCGAGTGCAAAGCGTTAATACTTTGGCTACCACCTCAGCAACCCCAAAAATTTCATTAAGTTAAATCTAACCTTGACATAACATCAACTACTTTGTCAACATTCTTACGTTTCGCGGTTGCTAATAAAATCAAGAAGATATAATGGGATATCGTAAAAATTCATTTTCAAATTCGTCGAAATAATTTCATCATCAGATATATGTACTGGTAAAGCATCGAAGCGTTCAAGAAGAGCATTTCCATCATCGACCGAAAATCGCAGCAAAACCAGAGTTGCCATTAGAATCGGGAAACGTAATTTGTCGCGTGCTCTGAATCAGCGAATGCAACGAGTGCACTTGGCCACTAATCAAATTATCGCGAGTACCGCGGACATTAAGCACGCATCGATCGCACTGTTTTGTAAACAGATGGTCTCCGCCGATAGAATGCCATGGATCGATAAGTCGCCGCTGTGATGGGCCGGGAAACAAGGGTGATTCCGAATGTTTCGACACTCGGCACGGTGCGTCCGTTAATGTCCAAAATTCGGAAAGTCACTTCTTCGTATCTATTGAAAACTACGTGCATAACGTGTCAAAATGTCAAAATAATTATATTTAGCAACAGAATGATTAAAAAATTCAGCAGAAGATTAATTTCAAATGAGTTTGCCGGGCAAATATTAGAAGAAATAAATAGCACCTTAATTCACACCGCAGCTTGTTCACATTGCCTTATGAACAGAAGGCCATTTTTCGACGTAATCTTGATAGAAAATAATGGACATATGATTGTAATTAATCTATAGCAATTTCGTAATGCTTACACGCAATATAATAATTAACACGAAACGAAATAATTAAGTTCGATTTATTTTCGAACACTTTGCAAAAGCTTTTAAAGAAAACGTCTCAAATATCCTGGGTTTCTCGTTCCAACATATTCGTATATAATGATACTATGAAAACTTTTTTGCGAATATTTGCAATGTTCAGAGTCGTTCAACAAAATATACAGCCACAGCCGGTACTCGGTCATTCGATTATAGAAACGTAAGATTTGATTATTCGATAAAAAGTAAGCAAGAATTTGTTTACGAGATCATATAATTGTTGTATGCAGGTCGTTGCATCTTCGTACTTTCTTCGACAAATTATCAAGGCATCTTGGACGAAAATTGATTAGCTCAGAAGTTATGATTTATGTCCGGGATGCTCGTACATGCGCCGCATTATGCTCCGTGTCGGAAAGACCGTCTGCAGAAAGCATCGCGCGTAATCGTATCGGCGTGGCCGCGGCTCGGCGTGTCAAATTAAGGGAGGAACGATCCACTTTAGCCGGGGTAACGAGTTTACTAACCCCTTCGCATGTAGGTTAAAAGGAATCGATGAGATTGCAGAGCGGCGGACGGGCTAGGGCCGCGTGTATGTATCGGTTGCAGCGCAACCCGGGGTGGTATAGTGCGCCGGGGGTGCAGCTATGGTCGCATCCAGCCGCGGTTAACCTGGAGTCGCAGGCCGGCCGGCGTTAACTCTGGTTGTGAATCACGACTTCGTTTAATTATTTCGACGAGCAGCGAGCAGCGAGCCGAGCGCCGGTTCTCGGTGATCGATCGAATCGAGTCGAATCGAATCGAATTCGAAGGTGGTCGGGCTCGGGGCGCAATTAGTTGATTCGCGGTCCTCGATTATCGACGACCGTGTTCCTCGACCTCGCGGTTCTTCTTCTCGTCGAACAATTAGGCGTTAATCGAGTGGCGCCGAGAGTTTCCGAAAAGAAAAAATAAAAATTAAAGGAGACTCGTTCCGACGATCGTGCCAGCTGCCGCGGCTCGAGGACGTTCGCGTCTCGCAGAGTTGAAAAGTCGAGAGTCCGCTGCTCTCGTTCGACACATTGTTGCGAAGATTGCTTTGAAGCTGCCGATGGTACTGAGCTCTTCGAGGGTACTCCGGTCGAGGTGCTCCCTTTTGCAAGAATCTAGACTCTACTTGGTGGAAAATCAATGGTGGATGGTTGAGCCGTCGAGTGGGATGAACGCCGAGAGTTCTTCATGAGACGATCTTGTCAAAATATCGAACTTCCGGCACTGGAGTGATTTGAAACCGGCGGCGATTTAAAGAATTCGATAGCCGACAGTGTTCCAGCGAGCAAAGCCGGGCGCGAGGAGTTAGAGGGATAGTTGCGAACGGAAGTTCGTGGAAAAAAGTATTAAGAGTTTGGAAGTTGCCACTGGATTATTCTAGGCAATATGCTTCGAAACGTTGATCGCTGCGAACGCCATTCGAATCTTTCGTAAATCAGCTTTCTCGCGTCTGGACAGAAAATTGTCAACTGTCTACAATTAGAAAGAGTTGGTGCAACGAGAAAATAAAATCGGACTTAAGAATGTGAATAATTTGTAGGAAATTTCAAAGTCGTAAGGGTTGGAATATGTATGAATAGAATGAACACAAGTTACGAGTGATCGACCAGTATTCACCGGATTCCGTGATTGGATCATTGCCAAATATGCACTCGGCGATTCTCTAAACTTCGGTGTTTAAAGGCATTCGATTACCAAATAAATGAAATCGGCGACTCGAGGGAAAGTACAGCGCACTCGAACGTTGATCTGTTCAAGCATCAAAGTGTTTTGAAGGGATTGTAGGGAAGAAGATCTCCATTTCCGGCAATGATTCTTTCTATTTCATGTCTGAATCGCTATGAACCCTGAACTTGACGATTCTCTAAAAGTATGAATTAACAAAACTAAATTACGTTGACGTCTCGAGGGATAATACGATGCATTTGCAGTTAGCCCTGTTCAAGTATCAAAGATCCCGGATCGTATTTTAAGGGAGAAACATTAAATTCGAAGTGCGATTCGTAATATTTTAGCGACACGGTGACTTCCCGTCGGTCTTGGGATTAACAAAAGTAAATTAGATCGACGACCGAAGGGAAAGCGCGGTTCTACCTGCGGCTAGAGTCGCGGACGGATTAAAGAGTTCTGAAGGGGGATTGTAGGGAATAAGAATGATAAAAGCTAAGGGAAATATACGGCTGTCGCAGGCCCGGTTCCAGCAGAAGCAGCTCCAGGAGAAGGAACAGAAGTTGCTGCAGCTTTACGACCAGCAACAGCAACGGGCTTATCAAGTGGTGCAACGTGGCAGCGCCGGCTCGAACGGCTCGAGTTATGGCTCCTCCGTCAGCCAACACACCGTCACAAAGACCTCGAGCAACAGCCACACAACCTCGACCTCGCAGGGTGGAAAGGTGAGTGGTTCTTCGCGTGGAAACGCGGCGCGTCGCGACTCGGCTCGGCGCGATTCGACGCGACGCGACGCGGAGTCAAGCGAAGAGAAGCGAAACGCGTTGTCGTAATGTGGTTTCACGCCACGCTTTCTTGAATGGTGTAATGGGCGGCGTTTCGATGTTGGGAATCACGGCAGATCGCATTCGCACACCTCGTTCCTCTTGCTTACACGGACGCCGCGCGCCGAGCACGAGCACCAGTGCTTGTCCTGGCTGCTTGCTATCCACGCGAATACGTTCCGCTTCGTTCATCGGCGCACCGACCACTTTATGGTAATTGAAAGCGTTTAGAACCACCGCTGTATCGAGTGGTCTCGTCGAATAACACGGAAACGTTTCGAGGATTCTTCTTCTGCCGGGATGATTTATCGACTGCGACGGGCGATTGTCAAAAGTTGTCGCGGACCGTGGTCGTCGCGAAATGGCTTCGAACGTTTCAGCGAGATCTAACTTCGTGGTTACTTCGGTTCGGACTTCTTCGATTGTTTCTTAAACGAGTCGACCGACGAAGAACAAAATTTGATTTAGACTAAGAAAGAGAAGAACGACGTTTACACGCTTGGCAAATTTTTGTTTCGTATCATTTGTTCCCGATTCGCAATTTAAATGCAAATTCGCTTTCTAATTGCTATACAGACATATTCAAATTGATCTCCATCGAGTGAGAAGCATTGATTCGGGAGTACAAATTCGATTAGAACTGCGATACGAAGCGCGAAGTGAAACGAGGACACGCTAGCAAAATTCGCTTTTATTAATACGCGTACAAATGATTGCGGCCAATGGTTTGTTGACACGCCGGACTAACGAAGGGAACCATTTTGCAAGTGTCGCTGTCCTTTTTGCGGGCTGTAAAAGCCTGCGGTAATAAAACTTTGCTTCTTTGCACCACTATCGTGCAGAATGTAGAATCATGCGTGTGCCCTTTCAGTGGATCCTCAGAGAAATAATTTAACAACAATCCCTCTGGCCTTCCAGAGCTTTAAAAATACTTTAGATCCAAAGGAACGACTGAAAGTTAACACATTATCTGCGCGGCAGAGGTATTAATATCTTTTTCACAGACTTAAAGATTTAATTTGTTGTAATTTTTCTTATTGTACTTGAAAGAATCCCGCTTCTGAAATTCTAAATTTCCTCGTGGTATAAATCAGCTTTGAAAGTATTAAATATTTTTGACTTTCCACCGCTAGACGTGGAACCTCGATTATGCGAACTTCTGATATCGCATAATACTTTATAGTACTCTGATTCTGATATCTGACACTCTTCCTTTCATCGAATCATTTTACATGTCAGAGTAAAGATTTAATCTACCACATCAATCAACTAACTCTTCAATTGTAATCATCATCATATCGAATAACTAATCACTGGACTGCGGGTGTTTATTTATTTGAGAGAAAGATGAACAGATCGAACGCAAAACCGTAAAAACATTTTAAAAAAATTAAAAGACGTCGTTCCATTATTTTCAACTTGCTGCAATTATTACAAGAGGAAACACATTGTTGTTTCACTTATATTCCTTACAATCGGCTTCGACAAATTTGGCGTCGCATAAAGATCCGCAGTCTAGTAATCGGAAGCCAAGTCGCTTCTCTGTAGGTACGTACAACCACCATCGACAAGTAACAAAAGCAAAAAATGAACAATTAGGTGAGGCAGATGTTCGACGAGAGGCGACAAACGACCGTGAAAGGCATCGACAGGAGCTACCCGTTGGAGCCGCTGGAGAACAAACCGCGAAAGCAGGCGAACGGAAACGCGGCACCCAGAAACGGGAATTCGACGGTGAACCGGCAATCGGTATCCTTGAAACGCGTGGTCCGGGCCGACGTGAACAGCAACCTAAACGCCGGCAAGCCGATCGTCTCCTATCACGAGGAAATCGCTCGCGAATCGTTCGGCTCGCCCGGGCGCCAGCAGCTAGACGATGACGAGTTCGGGAACGAGAACCACGTTGCGCAGTATGCAAATGGAAATCATCGAGACGAGGTAATTAATTAACGGTTGCGATCTCCCCTCGAGACAACGGGGAAACCGAGCAGGCTGGCCAATGCGATGCGCGCCGCCTGCAAGATCTCGAACTTCTTAATTGAGGCAGCCCGAGCAACAGCATCGTTACCGGCCCCGAGATTTGTTTCTGCTTAAGAAATCAAGTGCCGCATTGTTAATCTTCGCTGATGCTGGGCTCGATTCCCCCGGTTATGCTCGCGTGCTCCTTTTAACTAGCCCTTAAGCACCAATTATCTGTTCGATATCGGCGGAATTTTTAATTATTTTCTCATTGTTCCCGGGAAGATATTGCACAGCAGAATTAGCATTTCGAATAACGGGGTACATGGATCTTTCGTTCACGACTTTTTCTTAGAATATTTAATAAAAGATTCGAGGATAATCGTCGTTCGTGGGAACGATTTTTGCGCCGGAGTAATTGCAATAAGTTGTGAAGTATTGTACCGTTGTTACCGTAAATAGTGTGTCCATCGGAATTAGAGCATTTTGAAGAACGAAATACGAGAGATCTTTCGTAGTTGACTTTTTCTTAACGTATTTAACAAAAGATCTGAAAATAATCGCCGTTCGTGGGAACGATTTTTGCGCCATAGCAATTAAAATCAATTGCGAAGTATACACCATTGTTACCGGGAAGAGAGAGAGAGAGTCCATCGGAATCAAAGCATTAGCATTTTTAAGAACGAAGTACTCCTTTCGCTTCTAATTTCTTCTTACCTAATCCGATGATTCATTCATAACCATGACAATTTGATTGATTTTACAAATAACGCGATCAGAATTTCTAACAGCTCGATAATTTATCCAGAAAGCTCGATAAATTTAAAGAATCCACGAACTGCTAACTTAGCGGCATCCAAATGTTAATTTCAACTTGTTGCGAGCACGGCAGCCGTGTATCGATCGGAAGGGTTAAATGTAGAAATTGACTAATAAAATTGTGAGATTGTTAGAGCGTGAGATATTATTTATGTTTGACCGTTTGTTCGCGATTCGAACAGCTACAGATCGAAGAGGTGCTGGACCAGGACACAATAGAGAGAAACCGCATGATGGCAAAGCTCCACTTGATGGAGTACGACGAGACGCTGAAGCACCGCATTAAAAACGACCTCGAGAGCGAGGAATTCCCGGAGGATTTCATGGTGGATGTTCCTGACAAGCATCCGAAACAAAGTATTTCGAAGAAGCTATCCCAGGCGGAGGCGAGATTGGAGCGTTTCAGAAACGCTAATGCGAAGCGCATTAGCAACACCGCGAGAAACACCGGTCCGTCGCACGTCCCGAAGAAAAGGGTCGATCCAATTTTGCCTGGAAAAGCTGCCCCCAGGTACGTGCTCTGTCGAAGGAAGATGATAAATCTCCGATCGATTAATATTACAAGTACAGAAGCAATTTTTATACTGCCAGTCGACAATGAGAGCATAAAAGCGAAGAAAGTCGACAAACACGAATTTTGGATCGATCGTGAAAATCGTGTCTAACCGTTGTTACGGATTTTCTCCGTTTACGAGTCGGATCTTTTTGCTGTTTGTCGAGTTCTACGTAATTGTTAATCCACTACTGACACCATTACCAACACCGTAAATTATTTACCTTGTTGAGCAGCTTGATCGCTATCCGACATGATTATGTAGATACCTCGTCCTCGTAGCTTTCTCGACTTTCTTCATTCTCATTTTCGGAGATTCGATTAGTTAAGCCGCGCAGTCTTCTTGAGATGTTTCGTAGGAACATCATTCCAAACGATTTGCTAGATAAAAATCACGTTCGAGTTGCATAGAAAAGTTGGGGGCTGAGTAATTAGCGAGTTCGGTATATGGGCGACTTTAAAATCACATAATTCTGGCAACGTACAACGGATCACTGTCATTGCTTTGCAGCTTGATTTAAAACACTAACTTCCGTTGTGAATCTCGTCGTAATGTTCATGTGCTCGATAAATTTCATTCTCGTAATGCAGAAAATCGAAATGAAACATTTTGAAAGTACACGATTATTATGGATTGCAGATCTTGGTGCAAATAAGGGAAGAGAACAAGCGATTCAAATCTGTCACAACGGAAATGTAGTAAAATATGCTCCAATGTCTGTTAGTTTCAATATTTTCTTGTGTTTCTCATCAAATCACAACGCCGTCACAGAGAAATAAAACATTTCACGCTATCCATAGCAGAAAACGAATGAAATCAACGTTTAATCTGTTTAAGAGCTTCTGACGAGTATACTCGTCGTAACAAAAAAACGTATTGCCATTTTTTCATGACGGGTATACTCGTCGAAAACAGCTAACCGAGTAGGAAGAATGTTTTATGATACTGTTGATATTATTTCTTACATTGTACGCATTTAACACTAGATTCACGGAGCACAAAAGAACAGCTGTTTTATATTAGTTTATAAAAGCAACGATGAGACATTTATTCTGATTTTTAACAAGTGTTATCCTAAAATTTGCCGTAAGTAACATATAAATTGAATAAATAACTCACAAATGTATCTTTAAATTAGTGACCCGACATTTTGACGAGTTTCGTGAATCTAGTGTTAAACTAACGAAAAGAGCAAAACTCAAACACAGTACAATAACAATTACAGTAACTAAAAGCGATTTATGTTAGCAAAAATATTTCTCTCGATTATTTCGTTTCTCTTGCGCGACGATCAAGATTATTAACGCGAACTAATAGAAAAAGAATAGTGAAGAACGTTAGGGGAATCGTCGCAAGGGGGACGAACGTCCCGCGTAGCTCGTTACTCAGCCCCCACACGAGCTGGACGCATTTAAAAAAAAAAGAAGAAAACGCAAATGGATTATCTGTCCCGATTATTGCATCGAGCCTTGGCGAACGCGAATTCTCCGGCCGCTAATTGGCAATGAGTGCTAACAATCCGTCGCTGCTTTCACCCCCTAGCCCCTCGATTAATTCCTCGTCGCATAATTGCAATCGCTGACTAGACACCGGCTCGTTTAAACCCACGCAACCGTAGTAGCCTAACAATACACGCTCCCTGGAACCGATCTGCCTTCGAGAAAGCAACTAAACGACGCGTTTCCGGCAAACTCGAGGGCGCAGCCGTTTCCGGTTTGTCACGACCAAGGAAGACGTCCATATGACCACTCTAATTTCTGCTCGGCTAATTGCTATCGGAGGAAGGATAATCGGCCGAAGAACATTAAACACTCGATCAACGTTTAACAATCGCCCTCGTCCGACTGTGAACCGTCGATTCCAGCCTGGCTATCCGGAGGTATTAATCATTAATCGTCATTGTTGCGGCATCGTACGCCGCGATCTCTCTCACTCCCTCTCGCTCTTTCTCTCTGGCTTCACGAGTCCGGGGGACGAGTGGCTTTCTTTAATCGCGGAGCTTCCGTAATTTGTTTAACCATAAACGAGTCGACTAAAAAGCTGTTCGAGCCGAAGAAGCAAGACGACGACGACGACGACGACCACGACGCCGGCTTTATCCTGCTGCAACAATCGCGCCGAGACGTTTCACGCTGATTCACACCTATGTTTGTACGTGCTCTAACTACGCTACCAAGACAGCATTAACACAGCGCGACCAGTAACGGAGTAGAGATATAGAGGAGAGGATGAGAGCGTGGGAGTTAATCGAAGCGCAGTTCTAGTAATGTTTATGGTTGTTCTGAATTTGCCTGTCTTCGTTGTGATTCCGTAGCGGAAGCAAGGATAGAAAAGCGTCGACTTCTGAACGATTCGAGGAGATGCTGTCGTTCTCGGATACGGAGAGAACCGTGAAACGGGGGATTCGCGGCTCGCAATTTTATCGCGAGCAGCCGCAGAGATCCGCGACTAGTTATGGGAGCGATTCCAAAGCTAGGTTGTCGAGATTATCGCCGGAATCTTCGAGGGACGGCAGATCTAGGAGCGGAAGCCCGAAATTCTTTTGGAGCGAGTCCGAGAAGTCTGTCGCGGATCGTGCGATTGATTCGAAGGCGGCTGCAAGATCATCGCTAAATTACTTGAACGACATATCCAAAGGTGGAAGTCCAAAATTCTTTTGCAGAGAACCTGGGAGATCAGCAACGAGTTATGCGATCGATTCTAAAGCTGTTGCGAGATCATCGCGTGATTACTTAAAGGACAGGAGATCCAGGAGCGGGAGCCCCGAGTTCTTTTGCAAAGAATCTGGAAAGTCAGCAACGACTTATGCGATTGATAGAAAAGCAGGTGCAGGTTCAAATACCATTGGAAGATCGTCGCCTGATTTTTCAAAAGACAGAAGATCTCGTAGCGGAAGCCCGAAATTCTTTTGCAAGGAATCGGAAAAATCAGCGACGACTTATGCGATCGATTCTAAAGCTGTTGCGAGATCATCGCCTGATTACTTAAAGGACAGGAGATCCAGAAGCGGAAGCCCCAAGTTCTTTTGCAAAGAATCTGAAAAGTCAGCAACGACTTATGCGATCGATTCTAAAGCAGGAATAGTTGCGAAACCTATTGGAAGATTATCTCCTCAGCTCTCGAAAGGCAGTAGATCTCGGAGTGAAAGCCCTAAATACTTTTGCAAAGAACCAGGACAGTCTGCAACGAATTATGCGATTGATCCGAAAACCATTCGAAGATTATCTCCAGATTTTTCAAGCGACAGATCTCGGAGTGCAAGCCCGAATTTCTTTCGCAAGGAATCTGAAAGGTCGGCGACGACTTACGCGATTGATCCGAAAGCAAAAATAGCTGCAAAAATCATTGGAAGATCTTCGCCGGTTTTTTCAGAACAGAGTAGATCCAGAAGTGGAAGCCCGAAATTCTTTTGCAAGGAATCGGAAAAATCGGCGACGACTTATGCGATTGATAGAAAAACAGGTGCAGGTTCAAATACCATTGGAAGATCGTCGCCTGATTTTTCAAAAGACAGAAGATCTCGTAGCGGAAGCCCGAAATTCTTTTGCAAGGAATCGGAAAAATCAGCGACGACTTATGCGATTGATTCCAAAGCTGTTGCAAGATCATCGCCTGATTATTTAAAAGACAGGAGATCCAGAAGCGGGAGCGCCAAGTTCTTTTGCAAGGAATCGGAAAAATCGGCGACAACTTATGCGATCGATTCGAAAAGTAAGAAGAAATTGGCTTCGGACCTTTCAAAGAATCGTTCTGTCGTAAAGATAGAACCCGACAGCGAGTTTGTAACAAGAATCTCTACAAAATCACCCGTGACGGTGGACGACACCGTGGACAGATTCATCAAGGCTCACGAACTTGATAAGATCAGAACTCCTTCGCCGACAGGAAGCGTAAAAAGTTACACGAAAATCGATGCTGAAATCGATCTGAAACCAAGTCGAGCTGGTTCGCCAAATATTTTCGAGAGACTTGCAATAGATCGAAGCGCCAGTCCTCAATTTTTACATCGCGAGTCCAGAAAATTCTCTCCAACGGCAGGAATGACTGCCAAGGGACGCGAGATCGTATCGAAATCCCCAGACACGATTCGAAACCTTTTAAAGCATCGCGACCATAGAAAAGTTTCGTCCGACAAATATGAATTTTCCAGTGCTCGAACCACGTCTACAAAATCGCCGGAGTTTCGAAGGACGGGCTTAAGAAAGTCAAACGCGAGTCCGCAATTTGTCTCCGAGCGATCTGCCACGATCATGTTCGTGACCCCGGAAACGATAACGAAAACGAGAACAGGCTACGCAAGGACAGGACAGAAAGCGCGGAGCCCCGCTTTCTCGATCGGCAAGATGAACAGTAATATCGCGAACAGATTCGTGGACTCGAGCAGAAGAGACTCCCCCGAAGACGTTGCCGAAAAATCCAAACGGAGAATACGAAGCTCGGTGTCGCGATACTTTCTCGAGCAATGCGAGAGAGCTTCGAGAAACGCAGAAGCTGGTGCAAGAAACACCGTCCAAAAGCACAGAGTTGCTAGAAATGCTGATTCGTACCGAGTCTCGCCTCCGGTCTCGTTGAAACACATGGAGGCGGTCGGTCCAATGAGTAAGAGTCCGCAACTTCATCGGGAAGAGCCTGGGAGGTTCGTTGCGGCGAACGTGGATCGAAGTAGAAGCGGAACACCGGAATTTTTTTGTTACGAAACGGATAAGATGGCTACAACGGTGAGCCTGAAGCCTAGGCCCTCTAAAGACTCGATAAGTCCTGCGCGGCCTGAGAGCAGGCTATCGAAGAGCCCCGATGTCATAACTTCGATTAAGAATGTTAACGACAGCAGAAGCAGCAGTCCTATGTACATGACGGACAGGGATAAAAGAATTTTAACACTTTTCCCTTCCAAGCATGGCCATTCCAAGCCCTCGAAGGGCCTTCTACGTAAACATTCCAAGAGTCCCCTACCAACGACTTTCTCTAAAACTAAATCACCGAAAACTTCTGACGCCTACAACATAAATAGAGATACAAAATCAGGTAGCAGAAGAAATACGCCATCAACAAGTCCGGAATTCTTTTGCTACGAAACAGACAAAATGGCTACAACCGTGAGCCTGAAGCCCAGACCCTCGAGGGACTATTCTATGAGCCCCGAACCTGCGAGGTCTGAGAGCAGATCGTCGAACAGACCGGATATCTCTACTTCCGGCAAGAATGTTAACGAAACTAGCAGGAGCAGCAGTCCTGTGTTAGCACAATATATAACAGACAGTAGAAGATCGTCCCCGGGACTCTTGTCCTCGAAGGATCTTGCACGCAAACATTCCAAGAGCCCTCCACCAGCAAACACCTTTTCCAACGATAAGTCATCCGGAAGTCCAGAGTTCTTCTGCTATGAAACAGAAAAGATGGCTACAACCGTCAGCTTGAAACCCAGACCCTCTAATGACACAGGAGAGGTCTATCCTAAGAGTCCTGTCGGGTCTAAGCGCGGATCGTCGATCGGTCCTGACACCAGGGACATCGATGATAGCAGAAGCAGTAGCCCTTTGTTATCACGATACACAACGGAGCCGCTGCGTAGCTCGCTATCGTCCACCAAACCGAAATCCCCAAAGGACCAACTGCGCCGGCATACCAAAACTCCTCCATCCACAGGTACCTACTCTAAAGGTAAATCGCCTAGAAATCCCAACGTCCTCGAATTGCCAAAAGATACGAAACCTGTCGCAAGCAGGAGCCCAGACTTCTTCTGCTACGAGAGCGAAAAGTCAGCCACGACGGTCGGCTTGCGACCTAGGCCGAGTAACTCGAAGAGCTCCAAGTTCGCAGAGCTGCGGACCAAAAGCAGATCGCCTAAAAGCCCCGAGCAGTTGGCTAAAGAGGCCAGGCTAGCCATTCGCAGAGGGTCCGGCAATGTTCTGCGATCGACGGGATTGATTCGCGATATCATAAAGCATCAAAGACATCGTGAGAGCGATTGCGCTGCCTCGACTCTGTCCAGGAGAGTGGAGAGAGCATCGGGATTGAAACAGGGATCGAAGGACGGACCGACCGGAAACGTTTGCTCGCGAGAACGCGAGCTTGTTACCTTGCAGTCCGAGACAAGAAGCTTCGCATCCGTGGAGAGGACCTCTGAGGAGATCGCCGTGACCGATGGATACGCGAAGCGGGGCACTTACTCGAAGTCATCGAGAACGTCGCCGACTAATTGCGAGCCGACCAAGAGCAAAAGAACTTCGTTAGACTCCGACATGTTCTGTTTATCGCGGAAGGATAGAGGAGAGGCGGACACCCTCCGCAGAAGTCCTTCTCCGGGAGGATCGGTTTTCCGCGGCACGAAGCGCCGTACGACGGAAGATATGCCCGGCCCAGAGGATCCCGGCGAAAGTTCGGGATCCGGGAGGCAAACAGTCAGCCTGTCGAGGCAGGCTCCAACTTTGGGCTCTATAGAACTCGTGCGGAAGGTCATGAGGGGCGGGCCAAGAGCCGTCGTTAAGACTTTAAAAACACAGGAGCTCGAGGGCGAGCCGGCCGCGGCTGGCGGAATACAAAGGCAAAGTAATTCCAGCGTATCTGGGACGGCCGAGGTGAACGACGGAGGATCATCGAGCAAGAATTATGAGCGGACGGACTCGGTCGAGTCGGCACTCAGGCGGTTCGACTCTATTGACGCAGAGAACGGCGCCGAGCCGGTTCCAGATACTTGGCGGCGGAGCGGGGAATCGGTAGCAGAGAAAAGACAAACGGAGGAATCGAGGGCCGAGAGCTTCGAGGACGATTCGAGAACGATTTCGCTAAAGGCGCTCGAGCGGAGCGCGCATTCCCCGCGGAGCACCGGGAGCAAACCTTCGGGAACGCGTTTGAAGAGGACCTCGACGAGCGAGCCTTCCTGCCGAGCCAAGGCCGCTAAGCGGGAGGAGGAGTCGGATCGACGTCGGAAAAGAATCGCGAAGGGTGGAGACTCCGCCGAAACCGCTGGGAGAACCAGAGCACTGGCATGCAGGCGCAAACTCTTCCGAGACGTCGATTCGGCCGTGGAGAGAGCGAGATCGCGCAGAGATAAGGTCGGCAAGTCGAGCAAGAGCGAGTCGGCCGGCTCGAGAAGGGCAAACAAAGCGGGATCGGCAACAGGTATGTCGGACGGGGATGGTTCTCTGTCGGTGAAACACCTGAGATCGATCGAGGACATTCGGCGATCCATCGAGGACACGAGCTCCTCCTATCGCGAGGAGGCGAGGGCGTCGAGATCAGCGGTCGCGAGTAATGCTTCGAGAGGCGAGGGGAAGCCGCGTGTGTCGAGTAGCGTTGCATGCGATAGAGTCGGGAAACAGGTGTCCCAGGCGAAACGATCGGAGAGACTGGGCGCTTCGCGAGATTCGGAACGATTTGTTAAGTCCGCGACCGGTTTCTCCAGGGTGGCGAAGAGTCCGAGTCTAGAGCCGACGAAGCCGGCCGAGACCAACAACCGAGCGAGGAGGAGCGTGCTTTCGCCGCCGTCGAAGAGTCCCGACATGGCGACGAGGGTGAGCATAATTTTAGCAAACGTTCGCAAACCGCGTTCGCGTCTTAAGCAGTCGATCGGTACAAGATTTCTAGCGGTTAATCGTTCGAACCTCGCGCCGCGGTAACTCTTCGTAACCGATGAGAGTTCATGGTACTCCATGAGCTTCAAATTCCTACCATATAACTCTTCGGATCCCGAATTACCGTCATACTGGTCCAGGAACTGGAATCTATCATCGCATCGGCCTGGGAAGCTCGATAACCACTATTCGTCCGTGAAGTTCGAATTGCTGCCATGTACGAGGTTCAAACTGTAAACTATTTGCACATTTGTCCGTGAGGTTCAAAGCACCGCCATAACTGTCCACAAAGTTGAAACTGTACTGAGATTGGTCCGTGTAAATTGAATTACTATTATATTCATCAACGAAATTCAACCTGTCCCGGTATTGGTCTATGAGGCTTAAATAAACACTAAGTTCGTCTATGAAGTTTAAACTGCTACTATGTTGGTCCGCGAAGTTCGAAGTCGTGTCAGTCCATGTTTAAACTGCCGCTATATTGTTCCATTAGGTTTCAGTTTTAATCATTCTTGCTCGGTGAAGTTGAAATTACTGTTTTATTAGTATATGAAGTATAATCTGTGCTATCGTATCGATCCGCGAAGTTCTAAATTATCACCACGTTGATCAACACGGTTCAAGGTCACGCCATTGTAGTCTGCGAGGTCGAAACTGGCGCCGTATTGGTCTAGGGTAGAGAAACAATGTCCATATTTCATGAGGAGGTTATCACCAGATTAATCCGCGAAGTGCAAATTGACACCCTGTTGATGTATAATGTTTAAACCGCTGTCATATCGATCCGTAAGGTTTAAACCGCCATCATATTAAACTACGATACTTGAACTTGTATTATACTGATCCGCGAGGCTCAAACTACCGTCATATTGGTCTTTGAGATCCAAACGATCACCATACTGGAGCGTGAAGTGCAAATTGCCGCCATATTGGTCTCTAAAGTTCAAATTATCGAACATACTTATCTGCGGGGTTTAAACCGCCGCCATATTGACCTGCGAGCCTCAAATTGTCACCATGTCGGTCCCAGAAATTCAAACATCGCCGTACTGATCCCCAAAAAGTCGGCTATTAAATTCTCAAATTCTTAAATTCTTAAATTCAGAATGACTGCAATTCAATGTAGTCATATGTTACAAAACCTGCACTTACAAATCGTTAACAGGTTACAATTCTGCAGCGTTGGCAAATTCCGATGCAAACCGTCGGAATCGCCGTCGCATCCGTCCGCGCGTTTCGACCAGGTTTTTGCAACGACCAACGGTACTCAAACGATTAATTAAGAGACCGATCCAATTATCGAATTGGAAATTTCGCCGAGTATTCGGCCAGAACCTGTATTTTCGCGAACTCTTTAAACTTTGGCGAAATAACTTCGGTGAAATAACGAAAAGAAAAAAAAACCGATCCACGGAAAACTACATTTTCGAAGCTTGCGAGAAGTTTTCGAACGTTTCGGTGCGAGATATTTCAGTGATCATTTTCAGATGTTCGCGTGTTTATGCCTCGTACGATCGGTGGACTGTGATAATAATTTTTCGACGACTTTGAAGGCAGATCGCTTTGTTCCAGCGCCCTTCCACAGAATTGAAAGGTTCGGACGCGAAACCGACCAAACGGACAACGCCTACCAAAGATGCTGAGCCAATTGGAAATAGAAAGACAACCGCAACTACGACGACCACGAGAAAATCGACGGATGTCGTCGACGGTGATACCGTACTCGAGAATGGTCTGCATTTACAGGACCAAACGGTCGAAACGAAGTACGATAACGACCTGCATACAGCGAAGAAGACATTTGTTATCGACGACGACGAGCAGCCGCCGAAGGAAAATAACGGACTATTTCCAAGGAAGCCGCTGTTAAAAAGACCGTCCATCGAAGTGAGTAATGATAGATCTTTAAGGGAGGAACGTGATTGGACGAATCAATCGATTTAACAATAACATGTCGCTTTCAACGTGTTTAATTGCCACAGGTTTGTCGCGCATTTGTAATTTTAACCCTTTGCACTCGAGTGGTTTGACTCCGAGGCACCACTAAAATTTGTTACATCACGTTTCAAGATCATTTTTATATTAACAAAGCTTCGATTTAAAAAATTGTGAATAGCGTAACTGTTGCGTGGGTCCCAAGAGTCAATTTCATACGCGTAAAATGCATTTTGTCGTATAAAATAGAAATACTATAAGTTAAAAAAAATGACTTTATATTTACAGTTAAAGTAGCTTCGAGTGCAAAGGGTTGATCGTCATCGTTATTTAACCTCGCAGCAATAAAATAGGATTACGATGTGCCTCTTCCGCAGTTTCAGATTTACCACCGCTTAGGTGTAGATCAAATTAATGTTTCGTAATTGTACCAGCCGAGAATCGCGAGGTAAATGTTTCACAGCTACTTGAAGTTAAGAGTGCGAGAAGTAAGTAGAGAACCGTCTCGAGTCGACGGGTGTTTTCGCAGTAAAATGTCTCCTGTTTCCGTGCATTGATTAACCAAGATATTCCAAGTGTAATTTGCACATGGATTATCCCTCGTTCACTCTTTAAACAATCGATCTTCGTGCGAGCAAAAATTCCGAGTTTCCCGCTGTCCAATTAAAAAAAAAAAAGGTATTTACAGGCGCACGGTACGTTTCCAGTTCTCTGGAGTAGCGCCGGTGTCGGCCGTTAATCGGAACGAAATTTCAAAATTGAAACGCGACTAATGTTGATGAATATTTTGTCCAGAAACAGACACCCTCCGTCCCTATGCAGGCCAGCAGTTCCACCCCAAAGTCTAAAATGACTTTGAAGTCGAAGACGTCCAATGTCGCCTCATCCTCGTCCAGGTCATCGGCTTCCTCGAAAAGCGGATCGAATTGTACCCCGTAAGAATCTGGAGCCACTGATTTACCAAACGCTTCTATCGTACTTACATAGTTACAGCTAGCCTGCACCTTATCGTATAGCCACGAGCATCGAAAAAAAATGATCTCGAAATAATTTGAAGCTATATAGCAAATCCTTTCGAAAAAAGATCTGCCCGCGGTATCGGGAAGCTTGTTGAAATACGCTAAAATTTGCAATAGATAACGTAAAGTCAGCTTGTTTAGATTGCGCCAAGTTGTAATTGCAAGCCATAACTCGAACTGAACATTCTCGCAGCGACCTCCTGGTTCCCTGTAAAATATGCGGACGTTCTTTCGCCCAAGAACGCGTTGGCCTGCACGAACAAATCTGCACAAAAACGGGTCAAAAGAAGAGAAAGCTATTCGATTCGGTAATGTTTCGAGTAAAAGGTACCGAGCTAGAGAAATTCGTGAAAAAAGGATGCGCCAAAAAGCAGCAACCCGAGGTCAGTATCCCCTTATTCCGCTTCTTGAATTCGTCGTTCGCACTCTCTTCGCCGGCTGTCTCGCTTGCTTCAGTCCCGAACTTGCCACGACCCCGTCAAGCACAACGTTCTACGCACCTCGTGCACCAAATATGTACCCCCTGCGCAGAACTTCCCCGCTTCGCGTCCAAGGTCACGGGAGCATCTCGCGCTGCTCGGCGAGATTTTCCCGCGCCGTGAGACTTTTCCTCGGCGGCTTCCCGTGCACCTTGATCGCGCAATAATTCCCGTTGCGGATCACAATCCTCCCGGGCAGAACGCGCGAAACGCTCCGGAGGGACGAGGCGATTGTCTTCTCTCGACTGTTTCAGAAACCTCCGGAGACGAAGAGCAACTGGCGGCGCAAACACGAGGACTTCATTAACGCCATACGCTCGGCGAAACAGGTCCAGGCGCACCTGGCCGCAGGGGGCAAGCTGAGCGACCTGCCGCCGCCGCCGCCCAGCGACACCAGCGATTACATCCAGTGCCCCCATTGCGGTAGGAAATTCAACAAATCCGCCGCCGATCGTCACATTCCCAAATGCGAGCACATGCTGCACAACAAACCGGTGCACTCCCGGGCACCGAAACCGAGACGCTAATTAACGCGACAGCGAACGATCCTAACTACTTTTCTATGCTCGCCGATCGGAAACAAAATTGGCGCAATCCATATCCTTTCGGGAACGAAAAGTCGAGAAATATGTGCGAGGAACGTGAATATAATATTCGAAGGCATTTACAACTTTGCGAAAGAAATTCTTATTGTACTCTTGAATTTTTATGAAGTAACGCACGTAAATGGAAATTTTACTCAGCTGTTCGCAGAGTTTATAATTCTTAACTTAAAGAGTTCTTAATAAATTATTCATTGCCAGTTGCAATATCACTGGCGAACGAGCGATTCGTTTGTACGTAGAGTAATTATTTTGTTGGGGTACTATTATCTGAAAGAAGATTTTTATGCTGTCTCATTGTGTAGCACGCTCGCGAAAATTACTGTTAACAGGTTTCTGGTAAAGTTTGAATCGAAAGTATCGATGAAAATGAAAATTAGCATTGTCTTCAAGGTTCTTTAAAATTTGTGGTATTCCATTTCAGTTTATGCGTTAAAACACGATTTTAATATTGGTGAAAGAAGACTGCGTACATTAATAAAAATGTGAACAAAAAGATTGATAAAGAGAAATCTATGTTTGTAAAGCATACGGACAAAATGTTGGATCTTTCGCATCCCAGACAATTGGTGGTAAATTAATTGTTAAGAGATTTTCTGCGGCACGAGTGTGTGCCTCTTTTGTTCACGATCGACGCCATTTTTGTACGAAGATAATTTGCCGGTTGCGAAAAACTTATACAATTTTATACGCGATTTACTATGCCGAAACATCGTCAACATCCCCATTGAACGCAATGAGAAGTGTGCGAAACGAAAGTGATACCTGGAATTGTAGTTCTAATTCGAACAGAGATGCATGTTGCAGTTTAAACAGAACAGCATGTTGCAGTTTGAACGGAATCTTGTCTGTGTATTGTACATATGTACCGTGAAAGAAATTTAATAAATTGATACGATGCTTTTTCAGAACAATGGCGGTGAAAAAGAAAAGAACGTTATGCTTTGTCTATCGAATGTTATAAATTAATCTATTATATGGGCGCATATGAAACGTTGAGTTTTTCTAGGGGCACTATGTATAATGTGCTTCGATAAGATTTTTCATACGCATTGATCTAATATCGAAACTAATGTTTATAAATTGAGCAACAATAAACGAATCAAAAGGGTATACGAGCCTCAAAATTTTTGTGATACTGTATTTTGTAATGACCTGTAAGAGACAGTTCGTATCGCTTACTTTGTATACGTATTTATATCTTTTTATACTGTAGCGTTAGTGAACTATTACACGAGAGTTAACTTTGCAATCATTCGTCCAAAAACACGTATTGCCTTCGCATTACAATCGTATTTGAGTAGTGAAAATTGCTTAGACCCGAAGGATCAACGTTGATAACACGGTGCTTGATCAGAATCACGAGTATCGTGATTTATTCTCTAAGTTTTCATCGAGATTATCCGTCACATACGTATGTATACATTTTTATAGCGCTTAGTACCCTTAACGAGAGAAAGTGTGGTAAAGTTATTGTTATGATTAAATATTGGGAGCTAATAAACTAACTTTTTGTTTAAAAACAACAACCGTCTCACTAAACGACGAACTTCTAAAAATCATTTAAATGAAATCCAGCTTTTGTTAATTCCTTCTGTAAAACCTTTTGTAATCTCCATCGTTTTGTAAAAAAAAACCAGAAACAAAGATATCGTATAATTCTGAATTATCAAAATAAAATTCCAAAAACTTATGTTTTCCCATATTGATTTCATAAATCTTTCGCCTTTTACTTTAAAGCTTTTTCTTTTAGATATCTGATTTTTAAATATCTATTATTAAAAAAGAGCAATAACTAATTACTTTTTTAACATCCGTAACTATTTAAGAGAAACAGTAATGATAATTGATGAATCTAAACCAATAAATGTATTAGTTTGGTGATCAAATATCGCAGTGCAAAACATTAACAGTACTAGGGACTTTCGAGCTACGAACATTATTGATATCACTGATTTGGTCGTGATCCAACACAGCAGACGACGTGGTATTCCCGGTGTGAGGAGTATTTAAAAAGTCGTCTCTGTTCGTCAGCTTGTCATTATTTGAACGATAAAATAGTACGATGATTTTGAGTCAAATCTATGTATAGAGGGAAAACATGGATCATTTGATAATCTTGGTTTCCATGATACATTTACTCTACTGTCCATTCACAAAAGTGGAGGAAAGTTTCAATCTGCAGGCTATGCACGACATCTTATACCATGGCTTTAACCTGACCGAGGTAATTATTATAGAATTTCTTGGAAAACTGTCGCCTAAATTTGAGCTTTTATGAATTAAACCAACGTAGGTAGACAACGCGAAAAAACTGCGACTTTTTTGATAAATAGCTGACACGCAATCGAACAGATATTACGCAAAAACTGAAATATTATATTTAGAAGCAGATGCATGTATTTATAAACTCACGATCAGCTGATACAGCTTCGGTTCGCTTAACTCTCTAATAACACGTTAATCCCAATTTTCGATGCAGTCTATGGAACGGAATTTTGCACAACATGTAGTGGGATATTTTTTCAAATTTTTTCTATTAATTATTTAATGCAGCACCCGAATCACACATTCCAGTTATACGCTTTTGCTATGTTTGTGTATTTGTAAAATATATTGAAGTTTCATGTCAATTGTTTGCTACATATTCTTATTCTGTGATAGTATGATCATCATGATTTTCCTGGAGTTGTGCCACGATCATTCGTAGGACCAATTATAATATCAGGTTTGGCAACGCCGCTAATAGCAACCATTAATTATTTGCAACTTAATAAATTCTTTGCTCAATATGTTGGTAAGTTGTCTTTTGAACGAACTGCATTTATATTGCTCCCTCTGTCCTATATTATGGTATACATTACTGAGGAACTTTTTCCACTTAAAAGGGCTGTGATTCTTTTGGTAAGAAAAATCTATTAGTAAGCTTCTAAATGGTTGGACATTATTATAAAATAATTTGTTTGTTTAAAATTAAAATTTCTGCGGCTATCAAAAAATTAACTATGAAATTTATGATAAATGTAAAGAGAACATAATATAAAACAAAAGGAGTATTTTTTATCCTTGCCTGGTCTGTCATTAATATGAATGAATGAATGCAGCAAAGTTTTCTGAGTAGCGAATAAGAATAAAGAAGTAATTTGTATTATTTTCCAGTAAGAGCAATATTGGGTTTGCTGGTAATAAGTATGTTGAAGCTGTATAGAGATGCTTTGCAAAGTATCTTTGGTTTACAATTTACAAAATGGTTTGTCGCGATAACTGTGACACAGTATCATTTCATGTATTATTTAAGCCGTCCTTTGCCAAATATAATGGCAATGCCACTAGGTAATTCATATATTCTCTTTGATTTGAGGTTTCTACGTCTATGAAACAAATAGGATTTGCATTATTAATTTATTTTAGTACTACTGGCTTTATTTGGGTGGTTAAAGCAAAGTCACATCATATTTATTTGGTCGTCTGCAGCAGCAATAATAATATTCAGAGCAGAACTAGCTATGCTACTGGGGTTATTCCTTTTATACGATATAGCCAACAAGAAACTGACCATACCAAGGTATTTACACATTATATTGCGGACCATTGATTCCTAGTATGGCTGTAACATTGCAAACAGAAGTGATTAGAATCATCAAGGGACATTCTGCAAAACTGCACTGATTTGTAAGCTTCGTTTGCTTATAAAACTTATTAACACAAATGAAACCCTTCTCTCTCTCAAAAAAAAAAAAGAACAATAACCAAATCAAACATAAATCCCTCATTTAATACACTGCAATAAATTTTGACTTTACTATTTAAACTAAAACGAAAAAATCATTAAGAAAGAATTTTATTACGGGAAATGTTTCATCCATTAAAATTCATTTGTCTTTTTAGCGAATAATCATTTCATAATAGTAATAATTTTTAGACTACTTAAAATTGCGGTTCCAGCTGGTATATTTTTTCTAACACTAACGGTTACAATAGATTCCATATTTTGGAGACGTATTTTATGGCCTGAGGGAGAAGTCTTTTACTTCAACACTATTCTTAATAAAAGCAGTGATTGGGGTGTATCCTTTCTTAAAGTATAATTAATATGTTCTGCTTTTTAAGTATAAAATATCTTGAAAATGAATTTTTCATATACTTTTAATTTTATCTACTTTTTTCTAATCTTAACACAAACACAGACATCACCATTTTTATGGTATTTTTATTCGGCACTCCCAAGAGGGCTGGCTTTGTCATATTTTCTAATACCTTTGGGTATGCTTTGGGATGCTCGAGTTCGAACATTAACTGTTCCTGGTATTGTATTTATTATTTTATTCTCATTTCTACCACATAAAGAATTGAGGTTTATCATATATGTATTTCCATTGCTGAATGTTAGTGCCGCAGCTGTTTGCCATAGAATGTAAGTATTTTATTTCTTAATTCAGTTCTATAGGTTCTTTTGAATTTCTTATCTTATTAAATTCGCAATTATCTTTTCATAAATAGATGGGAGAACAGAGCAAAAGGTACATGGCATGGATTCATGGCAATGATCATTTCAGGCCATCTAGTTTTAAATGCTCTATTCTCCATGTTTCTTTTATGCGTTGCTGGTACTAACTATCCTGGTGGTTTAGCTATTGCTAAATTACACAGACTTGAAAAAGACTCTATTGGTCCAGTGCATGTGCACATCGATGATCTCACTGCTCAGACAGGAGTTTCAAGATTTACACAGACAAACGATTCTTGGATGTAAGTTACATACTTAATTTTATTATATGAATCCAAGTAATCTAGTTTAATAATTTTTCAGTTATTCGAAACAAGAAAATTTAACCATTGATAATCCTGAAATCCTTCAGTTTACACACCTTCTAATGGAAGCTAAGAGTAAATACTCTCCAAACATAAAACCCTATCTTAAAACTCACGATATTCTGGATTCTGTGGATGGTTTCTCTCATATAGCACTTAACTATAACATGCTACCGCCTATAAGGATTAAAACTAGGCCTATTATATTTATTATGAAAAGAAAAGCCAATATAAAATACGATCCAAAGAAAGCAAAAGCACATGCTCTTACAAAGCGATCAGCCGAGAGCGATACTGAAAAACGTACGCAAATTGAAAATGTAATAAATAAGACTGCTAAGAACATGGAACCAATATTGGGCGAGATTATGGAGTCATTAGAAGAATTTGAGAAACCATTAAATATTAGCAGCGAAAGTGATTTAGGTATAACTTCACAGAAAATTAAACCTATATTGAATACAACTCAAAATATTTCTGATGAACATATTGAACCATTACATGTGCCACAAGAAGCTGCAAACTTATCCGAAGGCAATTTACTATCTGCAACAATACCAATTCAAAAAGAAAAAGTAACAAGTATTTCAAAAACAGAGAATAGTCTCAATATTGAAAATAACATAAGTGTACAACATGCTGTTGTAAATATTTCCACTAGTGATGAAAAACAATCGGACACCAAAAGTGAAGAAATTAAAAAAGAAATAATCACAGAGAAACCTAAAATTCAACAAGAGGGTAGTACTTTAAAAGAAACTGTTAGAAAGCTAATTCAAGGAAAATTAGAAGCAGTTAAGCTCAAAAAAGAGATAGAAGATCAGAAGAAGCCTTCAGAAAGTTCAGAAAAAATCACTGCGAGAAAAATAATGCCAACAAAAATAGAGTTACAACAAAAATCGAAAGTTACAGTAAAACAGGAATCAAAAGAAATGCCTGCAACTATACAAGAGAAGACTAAGTTGCATCGAGTAGTTAATGTTAAGGAAAGCATTAGGAATATAATAAATCAATTTAGAGAGTTCGAAAAAGACTTTGGACATGAAGATTTAGATGTGAAGAAAGAAACAGAAGTTGCTAAAGAATTGAAGGGGACAGACACAAATCTGTCTCAAGAATCTATAAATGTTTCAGACACGACAAAAGAAGAAGACAATAAAACAGTCAAGGATGCCAAAGAAAGTTTGAGGGATATCATAAATCAGTTCAAACAAATAAAGAGTGAATTAGTTTCTGAAGATAACAGCGAGTTTGAAGAAATTGAAGCAACTTATATGGACAGATCAATTTCTGAAACATTGATGAAATTTAGTGAGTCCTTAAAGAATTTAATACATCGAAGAAAACAAGAGAAACAATTTGTTGCCGAGAATTTAGATATTAAAAAGGATGTGCCGAGATCACAATCTCTGCCAAAAGTAGCAGTAAAAGATACTCAAGTTCTAACGGAAACTACAAAGAATTTAAAATTGCAAAATGTGGAGAAATTAGGGACTGTCGTTCAAAATACTGACACAAAAGACAGCTCAAGTACAGAAACGGATAAACTTTTTCAAGAAAAATCTTTTACTATGTATACGAATAACAGAAACGTCCCTTTAAATGCTCAAAGATTTGTTGATAACGTGTCGAATGATATAGGACAGGATTATGCTTCCAAAGAAGAGGATGAAAAGTTGAAACAACAGAATGTTGAGAATAACACGAATGATTAAATGTTAAAATTAAGTGACTGTTTTTATGCTTTTTGATGGGGCAATTGTGTAGATATAGCGAAATGTAAATACGTTATTCTGTGATAACGAAACTATTCTATTTCATAATTGATGCTCATGCATTACCAACGCGGAAAAAACAAGATTACTCTCCTTGTTTTCTTGCTTGAAATACCAATGAATGTTAAAATAAAATAGTAAAGCATTTGTCTAACATATTGTACTGAAAAAGTGCCAGAAATGATTCTGTATGTATGCTATATGTAATATTAATTTGTAAACAATTATTTTTCGTACTTCAAAATGATCTAATTGTTTTTTTATATACTTGAATGTTGAAATATTTAACAATATATTGTTTGATATAAAAGTAATGTTTATCAATGCATGTTTAAAAAAAATCTATGCAATTTTAATATTTCCCCTCGACTGCTAAAAAAATGTATAAGACATTTAGTAATAGTTTTATCTTTTCCTATTCAATACTTTGCATTTAAATTTTGCTTTTCACGTTTTTCATATTTCTCATATTGCTCAAGATTATTCCATCATTTCTAATTTCATTAGGAAAAGAAGGATATGCTTCATCACAAAGAGGAAGTGCATTGAATTCCATATTGGTATTTGCAGAGCATTCAAGTGCCTTGAAATTTCTTCCAATGTTCTATGTACATATATATTATAAATCATATTCAAAGAATATATGTATACGTGTAACATATTGTGTAATAATATTTTGCGATAAGATGTTTAAATATTGAAACCTAAATATTACTTCTTACATTATTGCTGAAGCAATAGATAATCAAAAGTGCCAAATTGCAACTGAAAATTTTATTGAAATACATACAGTTTTCTGTAGTTCAAACTCTTTCTAATTGTGATGTATCTTTTGCTGTAACATGAAAGAAACATGCTAATCCTTGTGAATCTCTCGAAGTATTAGGAATCCTTTGACCGTACCATATGTTGTTAATCCCAGAGTTGTCCAATATAAGATTTTATCGCGTAAACCAAGTTTTAAAAATGATGGACGTCCATCATCACACTGATCATACAAATAAACAGTAATTAAGTACAAACTACATGATGATATTCATTTCAATGAAATTAAACATCAGAGTCTTGTATACCTGCATCTGTGCTTGCTGTAGTTTAAACTTTTGAAATGCTTTATCCGAAATGAATTTCGCATATCCTGTGTAAAATGTTTGTCGTAATAAAACAGTGTTCTGATAAAAAAGTCTTGACTGGTGAACCTATTAATTTCGAAAAGTTACGAGGTATATCTACATCACATAAATCCCAATTAAAATCATAATCTCTCGTAGAACATAATAAATGAATAACGAAAACTCATACACATAATTTACGTGCATAACACGTATATATGATTTCCTTTCATTTATACTTTATCATGCATCATTTTTAACAAATAACATTATCAACATTTACTTACAGCCAACATGATGCAACAGCCGTGTAATGTTGCCCAAAAAATCTCGGTTTACTCACAAATTAACAACTTTTGCACAGAGAAATTGAATACCGCTAAAATGTAACTTCTTTTGAATGTACACAATTTTGTCATGCGCACAGCCATAATTCGACGAGACGCATGCGCAGGATACTACACTAGAAGTGAAACTCGAATCAGAACCTTTGATCTCCAGATTCGGTAATTGGTTGGTCTTTAATAGCCTATGTACATACATACAGCGTTGCCGTTTTCTTTTAATCTATATTTCCATTAAAAATATTTCTCTGCCTTACTATACGAAGAAGGAAGAAAAGAATTCATACGGAAAATTCGAAACGTGGAAATATCCGAAATACCAAACAGTAGAAAATCTTTTAAGAGATGTACACAATTACATGAATAAAATGCTATTAAAAAATATACTTTTACTATCTTTGTACATACCGAAAACGAATTTTATAACTATTTTACGCACATACATACAAACATATGGAATTTTATGCGAACATTCCCGTAAGATAAGACTGGTGATTGTTAAATTCAAATATTGCACACATGCGCCGTGGGTGCAACTTTCTTTCCACCACTTATGGACGCATGCGTGCCGAAAATAGGTTCTCGAAAAACGCCGGAGTTTCGCATCTGTAAGAATACTCTGTGCGCATGCGTACTCGTTCCTCGACGCAACAGTCGTAAACAACATTTTTTCCAATTAGATTCCTCGCGAGTTTACGCTTGCACGGTAAATAGAGCGTCCTGGTAGGCGCACTGCAGTTTTTCCGCGTTTTCATATGATTTCGCGGAAAAATGGGGTCGTATTCGCAGGCCCGGTGTACGTGATACGTGGACTTATGGGTTTCTGGCATGCGGTGACGTCATCCGGATCATTCTGGAAGAACCCTGCAGGACAATAATGGCGGGTATGTATTTATGTCGTCGGCAAGATTATAGATCTCGGTCGCGGCCTATATTCGTCTGAATAGTAATGCAGCTGAGATCATTTCCTTCCAGATTTGTATGCAAAATACAACTGCACCTATTGTCAAGAGGACATCACAGGTTTGCGCGTTCGTTGTGTAGAATGCCCAGATTTCGACCTCTGCTTGCAGGTGAGTCGAGTGAACGCCTGTTTCTCGGTCACGTGTTCATGCTTGCCTCCCCACCCTCCCGTACGATCTTCTTCCATTTTCTTTGTGTCCTCGTCTATCCTTCTGGCTTTGTCGGATTTTGCGTATTGCGATTCCTTTTTTGTTCCCCACTCTTGCGCTTTTTTATTTGTTCACAAGTTAGTCCGTAATTATGTGTTCTACTTGCCTTCGCGAGAGGTGAATGAAACTGCTGTCGATCGAAGAGCACGTGTGCTCACCCGATGCAATCAATTGTTTTGATAGAGGAAAAATAATGTTTTTATACATTGACAGTGTTTTTCCGCCGGAGCTGAGATTGGTCCTCACAAAAATGATCACTCTTACCAATTTATGGTGAGTACAGACAACGAAAAAGAATAGAAATTAATATTTTTTTAAATTTTACGACACACGTGATCAAGATTTTCGTTTATAGGATTCTGGTACCATTAGTATATTTAATGGTAGAGGGAACTGGACAGCCAGGGAACAACTTAGACTTTTGGATGCTATTGAACAATTTGGTTTCGGTAACTGGGAAGATATCAGCAAACACATTGAAACACGTACACCAGAAGGTACAGTGTTCACATTATGAACGTTACTATATTCAGAATTACATTTGGAATAATTTATGAGGATGATTTTTATGTTAATAATACACAGTATTCCTTTTGCTCTTGTAGAAGCAAAAGAAGAATATATTGCGAGGTACCTGGATGGTAATATTGGCAAGCACACATGGCCACCGACAGAAAGCTACAAACCAAATCTCACAGATCAAACAAAGTCGGATCATGGACCTCTGTCCCCTGATCTCACATCTCGGTTACCACCATTGGACATTACTCCAGAGGAGGCTGCACAATTGGGTTATATGCCACAGAGAGATGATTTTGAAAGGGTTAGTCAAAAAACAATTCGTATAGAACATAACACAGAGCATCTCAGTCAAATACTTCTCTCATTTATTGTTGTATGTAAAAGTGCCTTAGGACAACAAAGTGTAGTTCATTTAACTGAGACAACCTATACGTATTATCGTAAATGTATACACACTACAATATCAAATTTTTTTAGGATTACAATCACGAAGCAGAGTCTCTTGTTTCTTCGTTATTCTTAAATCCAGCTGAAGATGACGACTTGGATATCGCTTTGAAACTAGCCCAAGTTGACATGTACACCAACAATTTAAGAGAAAGAGCAAGACGAAAAAGAGTAGTGCGCGATTATCAGCTTGTATCCGCTTTCTTTGCTTCATCTAGGAAGGATAAAACGCTGAGAAAGAAGCAATCTAAGGAAGAAAAGTACGGCATCGGTACTATTTGGAAAAAAATAATTTACTACCTTCACATAATTCTATTCTGATCTTGCTCTATTTACAGAGAATTCAGAGACAGAATGCGAGCGTTCGCTCAGTTCTACACGGCACAGGAGTACGAGCAATTCTTGAACAATCTTGAGAGAGAACGAGAGCTGCGTTTGCGTCTATCTGAGTTGTGTCGTTATCGGGACAGCGGAATCACGAGACACGAAGAGTGTGCTCATTTCGAGCAAGTGATTGCGCAGACTCAAGGTCAAAACGATGCCGCGGATCACTGGAACGAAAAAAAATCTGTAAGTATTCATTTCCTCTTGTTGAATTAACATTTCTCACATTGTGAGTGCAGTTGGAATTATTTTCGAAAGATATACTTTGTTTTTCATTGTACTCCGTAACGAGTATATCTGCACAAATGGAAAAAGATCATTAGGCAATCGTAAAAGCTAGTAGAGCTCCCGAGTCTTGCAACATTTTTGGTAAAATCGAAATGTTGCATTTTGAAATTAGAAATAATACCTAATGAAGTTTTTGAGTATTCAGGTGCAGGTAGTAATTTTATTTTAATATACAATGAACGATATACATTTTGATACCTTTTTGTTTTGAGTATAGCAGGCGTGGAATAAATTGATAGTAGTAATGTTAGTGAAACCAAGGACAATCTGGTTCCTTAAAGACAGCTTCAATTACACTTTATGCGCTAGCTTTTGCTTCCTTTTAAACTAATTCCATTATTTGTGGTGCGTGTTGCCAGGCATTTCTGAACAGATTGTATCAGTTTGCATTTCACTTAGGGCAGCAGTGGGCCGTCCACACCAATACACCGCCACACCTCAAAAAAAAGGTACAAAAGTATTCTGAAACTGTGTCTGTAAATTTCAATTCGTAGAGAAACAGCACCGTCTCATCGGTACTCATAAAAGTGTTATGGTTTCTTGTTTTTTTTTTTCTAGAGAAGAAGAAAAAGGTTACTCTTCCATCGACCGAAAGTACACTGCAAAAGACTTGCCCAGCAGCAGCTCCTCGCTCAGTCAAACCAATCCCAATCGGACGACGACTCCAGCCAATCAGTGGGCGGAGCCGGATAACTATCTGAATTCTTCCAGCCAGCATTCTACCAGCTCCAGTTCTGCTACAGAGAAAATCTACACTGCGACAACTTCCGGAAAATCGTGTTCAGCAATAGGTGATTTAGAAGAGCGAGATATTGAAATGGAAGCTGCCGCGCATTTGTTAACGAAACAAGAAAAATCTTTGTGTCTACAGCTTGATCTGAAGCCAACGCAGTATTTAACACAAAAAACGTTGTTGTTGCAAGTAAGTTTCTTTGTTTTGTTTGTGCAGGGTGGTTTGAAAGTATTGGCTACATAGAAGCTAAGCCTATAATATATCAAGCAACTATTGGTAACAAACTATTAGGTAGAATTATAAAGAATATCTGTTTTAGCATATAAATTTTATTTATTAATGAGGTAAACAATTACATTATTACGACCTTTTCCACAAGAAGTTTCACCTTAAATCTTGAGGTTAAAATCATATTTTGCTTAACATGTTTTCTTCGATTTCTTAAAGCTGTCTAGCTAGTTCTAAACCACCCTGTATTTTTATAATTTTACATAGGTCACCTTTACGTGGTAACTATATGATTGCAGGAGTATCTAAATGGTAATAGGAGATCTGGCGTTGTTCCTCAATCGGAACCAGAAAGTAAGATTTTACATTATCTGGTTGCGAATGGCTGGATTGCGGCCAATTAACCATGTGTAAAAAAGATTAATGACCATTTCAACTCTAAGTCACCCTCTATTTTGCAAACTAAGTCCTAGATATAACTGAAAACCGAGTCTGATTTAATTATTGTATATAGGGCAGATAGAGAAAGAATGTGTGTATATGTATACGTATACATACGTAGAAACGATTGGTTCATTACTATAATTTATTAATGGAACTCTTGAAGAGACAAAATTTCAGCGATCGGATAAATTGCTACAACCAAAGGACTGGATCTTCAGTTTTACATCGTATGTATTATTTCAATGCTTGAAATAATAAAATGATGCATTCAAGATTCTAAAATTATAGTCCATTCGGGCTGCAACAATTTATCCAGTTATCGTTATTCTTCCATCGCTTTTGAAAAATAAAATTCAGGTATCGAATATTCACCGTTAAAACGATTCCAGGAACTTGTCGCGTTTGACTCAAATGTGCATCGTTGTGTTAGGTTTCGTTCTATCATTCAGCCGGACAGTAGACTTGTTTTAACACTGTATAAGAAAATCTCTTACACTGCCTTCATAGAGCCATTGAACGTATTGCTCAATTAATTCTTCCACTGTAACGTTTTCTTGTACATGCTACTAGTTGCACATACTTCTTTCTATCTGTTTTCATTGTGATTTGTTACCATGCTTGACAATAAGGACGAGCGCAGTGATATCGCTCCGGTCGACATTGACTCCCGGTTAGGGTGACAATTGAATTCTGACTAAAAAATAATTTTTCTAGATATATTTTCAAACATTCGAAGGTGAGTGGAACTCCTCTCATCGAACCTAGTAGAAGTAATTGATAATTTATATGAGAAGAATTTGACAAAAACCTTGAAGAACTGAGTCAAGATAGACCCGGGACATCGACGAGGTTTTAGTGATTAAAATTCAAACTACGATATTAAGTTTAAACCGAGCTGAAAAAGCGTTCGACTTACGGAAATTGGCCTAACAGTATCAAGAACGTGATGAAGCTCTAAAAGGGAGTCCTCGAATCCAACACCCTCGATTTTAAATCGGACATACTTCTACATATTATAACATTTTTCTCTGTTTCTTTAAACACCGCAAAGGTTCCTTATTGATAAGGAATGGTACAAAGAACAGATCGGGGGGGGGGGGGATACTTGTTATCACCATGATGTATATGTATATATATGTTTATATATATATACTATTAGGTAATTTATTTGTTGCCTGTGTAATATTTGTACATACAGAACGGAGAAAACTAGTACCTTTCTAGTGATACTACTTCTAAAAGCACAAATTATGGTGGTAATGTGAAGAGGAAAAAGTGTTGGAAGGCGAGAAGCATATAGTGTGATATACTGATGGTGTTCTGAGCCAAACAGATAACTGCAGAAAAAGACATAACGAGCTCGGGACGCGTTGTCTTGAGATAAAGCGATTATTTGTCCGTTGTTTGCGATACGTTAGCGATTAACTACTACAGCTTCTAATTAAAAGTAAAATTAGTAGGAAAAGAAAAAAAACGAAAGAAATGTAGGATCTACTATAAATTGTAGGACTTCTTGTCAGTATTCGCTAAGCTATTTGTCACTGTTTAATTTTCGCAATCTGTCTCTTAAGGAACCAAAACTCGCACACATCGGCACGCATCGAACATTCCAGTTTTTAGCACACTCATATGGTAATTGCATTCAGATGCCAATCATCGAATATTCTCGAATCGCGCGCACAAGTTCATAGTAGTAGAACAAACGATTTCTCGCCGCGAACCCTACGAATTCGCAAGGCTTTCATCGCTCACTCGTTGCCTCTCATTTTTCGCGAATCGATCGGTGTCACGACGATATTTCCTCGCAGACAGAACGAAAGAAAAGATATAATTATGCCGTTCGCGAAAAGATTGTTGTACGCTTCTCTACGGCTTCTATTGTACGGAAGCATTTCTAGCGTTCATTTAGCGTAAATTGGTCGCCGACTTTTCTCTATCCTCCATTTCTCTCGTACGTTTAACAAACTTAACCAAAAGAAGAAGAAGAAGAAGAAAAAAAAATCAAGAAAAAAAATGATTGACCGTTTGCTTTTATTGTAATTTCGTGTCTCTCTCAGAATTCTCTTCGTTATTACAGACGCTTCGAAACGCGAGGTCAAGCGACGAATCGTCATCGTTTAGCTTGCATCGTCGTGTGGATGTAAAAAAAAAAAAGATTTAAAAAGCTATTATATCTATGTAAATACTTAAACGAAAGGAGAAAGAAAACTGGGAGACTACGGTTTCGTAGTTGTGAAACCCTAATGTATAAAACAGACAAAAAAATTCAGAAATATCTTCCGTTGAACAAAAAAAAAAAATATACTTATTATAGCGTACTTGCTTGAGATACACACGGCTAAGTGATGAGATATATAGGGGAAATAGCTGCTCATATTTTTTACGGAGAGTAGAAGACTATTCCCTTTTATTCGGTGTAATGCTATCTGCCTGCGAACAGAGCGAACCGTTTTGTCAACGACAGTGAATGATCTTTCGGCGGGTGTACGCTCACCCACGCCTTTTAATACACGTTATTTTGTTTTGTTTCCGCTGCCTCTATTAACCGGTAGTCGATCGATGCGAGTTCGATTTTAACATTACATATTTTCATCGTTTTACGATGTTGGTTGCACCGTTTTCTGATGCTAGTTTTGTCGTCTGCGTATTGTGATAAAGAAAATGAACAATTTTTATCTTTTTTTTTTGTTTTCATTTTATTTTATTTTATTTTATTTTGAAGAAACTCGCGCCGATCGACTAACCCGTCGTTTAACTGTAATATTTATACGAGGTGGTCCGTTACGAATAGACTGTTTCATCGAATGTGTACAGGGTGTCTTGTAATTCGCAACTAGTTGATTAAAAGCTTTCAGTCAGATCGATGCCAAAAAATTTTATCGTCGCATACGGTTACGTTAAGATACAAATTTGAATGCGGTTTAGCATTGTATGTAATCACCTGGCGATATTACAGAACACCCGTGCGTAAGCACGACGCCATTCTGAACGGATTCGTCGTCGCGCTTCTTCTTCGAATTATTTAAATAATTTATTGAATTCAGGAAACAAGATTTAAATTCGTAGCCGTGAGTATACACGAATGAACACTACGGTGTAATATTTTATAGATCCTCGTAAATCATTCGCAATAATATTTTTTTTTTGTTCTGCTCGAAAGTTACGAGTTTCAGTTAGCGAAGAAAGAGAAAATAAATGCGCAGTCGTCTGAGATCGATTTGATGTTAAACCGAAGAATCTGTGTAATACGCGCGACGCGTTGATTACTCCTCGTTGCTCTCGGAACGATACGAAACTGTTTCGATGACAAGAAAAGGCTTTCAACGTTATACACGCGATTTAAACAGTCGTTGATGTATAAAATAAACTGTACAATAGGTATTTTCCCTTAAAAAAACAGTGTCTGTATTTATTTCGTCGTTGTTCATACCTCCAAACTTCTACGAATTGGTAAAAGTGATAAACTACCTTTGAGTAACTCAATAATTGAGAATTAGGTCAAATCGCGCGACAGATATCTTTCCTTAAGACCAGTACTTGCATTTATTTCAATGTTGTTTATACCTTCTGTTAATTAACAAAAATGACAAAATGTCCCCGAATAAGAAGTTAGTAGACAAAAGTAAATCAAAATAAAGGGAAACAATGTGAATGAGATATATGATACCATTTATAAAAGAAGACGGAAGTATTATGTTCTACTGATTTCAATACTTCCGGCGATCCATAATACCATGCGAATAAGACGCGATCTCCAATCCCTTTAAAAACTCGCGAAATATTGCATTACCGGTTCTTATACAATGTTTAATATTTCCGTATCCAACATCTGTAGATTCTGCTACGTATGTATAGATCGTGCCGTGTACGCGAGCAGAAGACAAACAGAAATTTACTTTGCAAACTAAAAGAGCTTCCGCTGGAAATACAACGAAATTGTAGTTAACGTTTCTAAATATACATGTATTCTTGAATTTCATTCATTCGCGACGCTTCAAGACGCAAGTAAAAAATTTTCAAAAATGTGACTCGCGCCACTATGATTCTAATCCGTTCAATCAACCGCGATCGAATAATTTTCCGTTAAAAGATACCAACCGAAGCGCAGTTTCTTTCTTCCGTTGATAGTCTTTCCCCAAGCCTAACTCCGAAACTATTTTTCCCGTCCCGACGCTCGCACCGCCGTGAAATTAATTAATTATTCGTTTCCACGATTGCCCCCTAATTACCGTTCCGCCGCCGCGATTTAATAATTAACGCGGCAGGTAACGATTAATGTAATAGGGCATTTAAACCGATCGTTCGCGCCGCAATTAGCAGCACCGCGCGCACCGTTCCCATTAAATCAATGTATGCGCGTACCGGCTGCGAAAGCGAACCGTTCCCTCGTTCTTTATCGATAAATTCATCGCGCCGCATCCTCCCGTCAATAATTACCCGTTCGAATAAAATTCTCGCAATCTCTTTGCGGCGCATGGTCATCGTGTTCTCTAATCCGCGATGCGCAACCTCGACGCGTGTATCCCATTACGAGTGAAAACGTTACGTTAAAAGGCTTTAACGTTAACCGGCTTGTTCGTTCGCGTCGATAACAATCGTTTCATTTGTCCGCGGCGCGATCTTATCGGGAACTCGATCGCAGCCGTGATTCAGCGGCCGGTCGCCATCTTGGTGCCGCGAAGACAAATCTTCGTCGTCGTAATCAATTTTCAAGGCGTGACGACGACGGCCGGGACCTTGACAGGATGATCGGTACAGTTTACCTGCGAAATTACCCGCGTATACGGTGCCCGCGATTGCGACAATGCCGCATGATCGAGAGCGATGCGTCACGTATCGTGGACCGACGACACGACGTTTCTCGGATCCGAGGCCTCCCGCGACGTCTCCGCGATTTCACTCTTTTCCTCATCCAGACACGACGTCCTTCGCCGTGTACTCGAGAGTGCACGTCGCGTACCATTTTTCAATCTTCTTATTAGAAACACAATTCCGCAGAAATACGCCACTTTGATTGCCACGCACGCGCCCGCAAAACTCCCGTCGTCCCTGTCGCGGAAAAATATTTGCGATATTGTCCCCCCATTGACCGAACGTCCTTCCGTAACTCGGGTACTCTTGGATCCTTGAACGATCTTTTCGTGACTTTTTATTCAACGTTATTCGCACGTCACCGACGATCCTTGGGGGAAGATAAACGGGATCAAGTTCTTCGAGCACTTTTTCGTAGCTTTTTGTGCGGCAAGAATATTTTTGTTACAGTTGTAAAAAAAGCTGGTCGTCCAGTTTTTAATTGTTAACACTTAACCTAACGAACGTTAAAGATGTACGACATGAGTGCCGCTTTGTAAAAGTTACAAGTCTGAATTGATCTAGGCATCTTGCTATCTTTATTAGAACGTCCGCTTGAATTCGAAAATTTATTCGATCTTTTCTTGGAAAGATAACATATATAATTGAAATAAATAAATAAAGTACATAAATAAATAAATAAAACATCTATCATAATTTCAATGTACATATTTATATACTGTATGCAAGTTACCTTGCGATCTCCTTTATCATGATTTGATTCTTGAGGATGAAAATACTAATGAAAGTTCTCTTCGTACATTTCTCAAACTATTTTTCGATAACTCGCGGTGGAAAGCCAATTTACGTTACTCGCCTTTTTTATACTGCCTAGAAGCTTGTATGAAATATTTAAAACAAATTACATCTTGTTGAGATGGAATCAAAATAGAGTTTTACTTTTACAGACACGCAACTACGTATAGTGTCATTATTGTTTTTCAAACGTTATTCCCGGTATGTATACCCATTTTGTTGATTATACAATTTGTAATCACGTCTCCGCGAACGTAATTGCACAAAGATTGCATTCAATAGATGAAAATGTGTATTTACACGACTTCGCCGTCGTTTTTTGTTGAATGTTATGATGTTTCTTTTCGAATGGAGAATACAGTTCGTTCGTTTGACTAAGCCGCGATAAGAAACGGAATTCGATGAATAACGAGTATGGCTAATACATGTGTTAAATTGTTTTCTCTGGAAGTGCAAACAGTTCGGTTGCGCAAGGACATGCAAGATCCGCCGATTTAAAAACTTGAGTAACTTATTAATGTCAGGGATCGGTGCATTTCAATAAACCTCGAGGCGACAGGGGACGACCGTATTGACACAAATTATTCCAATCCTTCTCGGTTCCTGCGAATCCACAAATTTTTTTACACCCACCGGCGAAAATTCACTCGCCTTTAACGTGTTTATTCTGCTAATGTTGTCTCCTCTCCCAAATTGGTGCTATGATGTAACCGAAATGTGACATAACTCCCTGCACGAGAAGAAAGTATGAAATGAACGCGTGTCTTAACGAAAAAAAAAAAATGTATTTTTACTAAACACCGTCGATCGAATGGCAAGATCGCATTTAAAGAACAACGTAAAAGTCATTACGAAGAACAAGATTAATTCATGAACGTTTAAATGAAATCACATGACTAATACGTATTACGGTTGAACTGCTACAAAAACATGTTTAAGCACGTAATTAAATGGAAATTGAAGCTATACGAAACGTTAACGCGACATTGATGTACGCCGATTCCAGTGAAACCTGAGTGCTAAAAAATAACTATGAATAACGAATGCTTAAACTAGACGCATGTAGAGAGAGAGGGAAAGAGAAGCATTTATTTTTTCTTGTATGTTTTTCACGAGAAAGAGGTTTCTGATGTCATAGTTCGCACACTTCGTGTCTAATTATCCGGTTCTGATTGAAAATTATACAGCAAGATGCCAGACGTCTTTTCTTCAAACGTGCTTGTCTGTGTAATAAATATTTATCGTCGAATGACGCTCTGTTCAAGTTGCGGGACAGATATTGTTCGAAACGAATGGGGTATACACTAAAAGGACAGAACTTTCCAACGGTATTAGGCAATGTTTTTAGGCAATAACCTGTTCCTGCTGCATATGATCCGACACACACGCACAAAGAAGACGACAGAAGAAAGGACAGCAGCAGTGGGAAATCGAAATCTCCATCGGTCTCAAATACTTCGATCTGCTTTCATCTAAAGTTACGCTAGATAAAGAGTCCCTTATATATATATATATATACATACCTTTAAATTGTGTTACAGTTGAGATTCAAGACGGATCGGCCTTCTTCTTCGTTGCTATATCCTATAAAACTCTATTTTCCTAGTCTATAATTTACAGTTAAAAATGTCTTAACAAATTTGTAATATTATCTGATGATATCGTTTAAGATTATCATCGTGGTAAAAGATTGCGTAGCACGATCGTTGAAAATTCCATTAATTTGTTAAACAGATTGACTATACAATTTCAGCTCAATGCGATCAATAAATATTTCCCGAATTATTTAGATAAATTAATAATAGCTTTGCCAGATCACTTCGTTTTCCAAAATGGCGAAGATTGTTAGAAATCGACATGGAATAATTGTTAAACCTACGAAAAAGTTTGTAAGCAATAAATAAACAAAAATTGGCATGGAATAATTACTAAACCTACGCAAAAGTTTGTAAGCAATAAATAAACAAAAATCAACTACATGTGTCTAGTTTAAACAAAATAAGCAAAATTAATATGCAATTTCATTGATATCTGACGATAAAAAGTAACCTTGACATACCAATAAATATTTTCCGAATTATTTAGATAGATTAACAACAGCATTGCCAGATCACTTCGTTCTTCAAAATGGCGATGATTGTTAGAAACCGGCATGGAATAATTGTTAAACCTACGCGAAAGTTTGTACATAAGCAAAATCAATATGAAATTTCATTGATACCTGACGATAAAAAATAACCTTGACATAACCGGAGAGTTATATCGATAAATATTTCCCGAATTATTTAGATAGATTAACAACAGTATTGCCAGATCACTTCGTTCTCTAAAACCGCGAAGATTGTTAGAAACCGGCATGTAATAATTGCTAAACCTACGCAAAAGTTTGTACATAAGCGAAATCAATATGAGATTTCATTGATACCTGGTGTATACATTGCCACCGAATGTGAAAGAAATTCCATTACGACATCGAAACACGGTCACTGGCATCAATTCCGATTCTTTATCGGATTTGTATCGTGCGGATCATCGCGGAAGCTGATGCATCGCGCGTTCGTGCCGCAGATAAACGATAAAAAATCCATTAAAATGCACGTCAATAGCTGGATCATACAAACAGGAATATTTTTCAAGAAGCCCGAGTTAAACACAGAGACGGGGACGGCGTTCAGGTGGGGTACAGCCGTAGGAGTCCCACCTTTCCACCTTCGTCCGCCTTGGGCCTCACCACCGATTGGACATATATAAGTGTCACGGGCCAGGACAACTTTACAATTGCATCTGATCGCAGCTAATAACGTTCAGGTGAGTGAGTGTCACGCATCCTGAAGTATCTGGCTCGCGCCTGTGTGAATTACTGGGTGTCGGTGAACGTTGCATTGTCGGAAAAGACGCAATAATCTCGTTCGAACAGTGACTTTAATATATTTCCGATCTAAATTTATTATAATTTGGCTGTATATCGTGATTGACGCGATCCAGTTCTTCTTTCTTTCGGTATAGCTTTCGTATTTAATATTCGGAAGGGATAAAGTTCCGATGGTTGCATATATATGAGCCGTTTATTTTGAAAGTGGCATAAGTTACTTTGTTTTTAAGTCGATACATTTAAGGGTTTGCGTTTTAACACGTTTCAAAATATGGATGCTAACTTTCGAGAAGATTTACTTGTATTTGTTATCTCGGGATACTGATATTTTTCTCAGTATAAATAATTTCGTTTAAACATTAAAACATCACCACTTTTCATTACGGTAAAGTGACTTATGCCACTTTCAAAATAAACGGCTCATATAGT